GTTTGCTCATTCCTCTTTACCCTTTTCACTACCATACAAACCAGCAGTGCTCTACAACCTTTGGCATCTAACATATTTTGTCCTAATCAGTAACTCATTTTTAACCTTTTTGCAGCAATATATCATAATGCTGTATGACCTTCTGTTGCCTGGGGTCTTTGCCCCCAAGCCTCGCCTAAATTGCTACATTTTGTATACGCTGCTAATGACCTTAGATGTTGACACAGCAGAAAATTTTCAATAAGTAAATAAATGAAATAATAACTAAGTGGATATGTACAACATAAAAAATAAATTTGCTTAAGCAGAACATTTTCCTCTTGAATTCAAAGAAGCTAGAGTTCTTGAAGGTTATCAATTTTTTTTTTTTTTTCTGATTATTGTTTACTTATTTATTTATTTATATATTTAATATTTATTTATCTATCTATCTTTCTATTCTATCATCACTTATGTAAATCTTGACTTACCCAGAGCCTAAATCCGTAATGATGTTTATATGTCAGGTTGCCTGGTGTGTTCAATATGATCTTGGGTTCTTTCAATGGTACTTCAATGTAAGCTTTACATTGTTTTTAACCACTTGCTGCCAGGGATGGCATGTGCATACATGCCATGCCCATTGTGTTTAATTTAGTAATTATCTTCACATATATATGGCGCCACAAGTACTAAGTCACCAATGAGCCAATTACAGGAACTACCTGTCTTACCTGTTTACCCTTTTCCTTGATTTTTGATAATAGTTTCTAGTATTTGATCGTGCTATTAGTAATGTCAGGAACAATATAGTAATTATAATGTTTATAGCAAAAATAACTTGATGTTAATTGCATTAGTGAAAAAAGCATTTTCCCACTATTTCAAGAAAGGTGAGGTCACAAGATCTACTAATTGACTCCTTTGTGGTTGACCACCGGCAGAGACATATATGTACAGAAACATTTAACAAAACAATACGAAAGTGAACACTACATTTTCCCGTTGGAATTGGGTTAAGATTAAGACCGTGACAAACATTTAACCTTGTCAACCTAATGTATATGTTATATAAAAATGTATCACTGACTTGTAACTCCAATCTTAACATTTCAGATCTTGGTTCAATACAAGGAATGTTTAGATTTATTATAGGCACACAGGAAGTTTTATAATTGAACAGGGATGCCCATGTCCTTGCTTATGTTAAAGTTTTATCCAGCTTCACTTGTTCTCTTGTGTTTCTGCTTAGAAATTATGAAAATGTTTTTGGGAAATGTCAACACTTAATGCTTTTTAACCCATTAACCCCAGGTAAAAAAAAAAAAAAAAAAATTGGTAAGTGGTCATTAACGTGAGCTTGTTGGCACGCATCAACAATTTCCTGTTTGCAAATTTCTCATTCAGTATATTGCAGGCAACATTAGGCCTGCAAAAGATTGCATTTTGATATAATTTAAAATAACTTTTAGAAAGTTGAAGGTTGCCTTCACTTCAGGTGCTGTTGCCTAAACTTTAACCATAGAAATGATGTCATGACTATTGGAGAAAAACAAGCTTTGTCTGATGTGCCAACAGTGTGAGAATGGTCATGATACCTTGCCACCTGCTACTTTGTCCACAACAGCTATGGCATATATGTACATGCCCCCCAGTGGCATGAGGTTGAAGAGCAGCAAAATTATGAATATTTCAAGTAGAGATAGTATCAAGTTCTACTGCCTCCCCCCAGTCCATTGTTCATTGTCATTATGGGGGCTTAGGAGACGGGATCATCCCTAATTTGGATCTCAGCCCTTGCCTCAACTAATATTGCACGATCTTTTCTTATCCCCCTTTCCTTTTCCTTTTCTTAATCCCCTTCTTCTGTCCACATCCCAAAGTGTGAGAGCAATTCTGAAAAGATGAAAGGCTGGCTTTGTGTCAGTCCTGAATGCCCTTCATACTCCGTTTGATCTTTCCTCTTTACCCTTTTCACTATCATACTAACCTGCAGTGCTCTACAACCTTTGACATGTAATCTATTTTGTCCTAATCATCAACTTATTTTTGCCTTTTTCACCTCAATATTTTATAGTACTGTATGACCTTTCCTTACCTGGGGGCTTCTTCCCCAAGCCTCACATTATTGCCATATTTTGAATACAAAACTAATGACCTTTGATGTTGACATGGTAGAAAATTTTCAATAAATAATAATAATAATGATTTCTACAATAATTATAAGGATAATTTCTCTCATTTGCTGTATCATTCTAGAGCAGTAGACTGCAATTACCTTCACAACATACATGCACAACATATATATGTAGTTGAAGGAATTCAGATGAAATTCAGTTTCAGAAAGTGGGAATCAACATTAGGGAGACAGTTTGTATGTGAAAGAAACAAACGTGGATTTTCCTTTGAGGATCAAGAGTATTTAAGGGATGTACCACTCCATTGATGAAGCATATAGCAAGATCAGATAGTGTCCATATACGTAAAATATGTTAATGATACAAGATGTGAACAAGTAAATGAAGTCTTCATGTAAAGTTATGTTTCTTGATACTTCATGTATAACAGAAAGTGAAAATCAGGACTTCCTTAAGTCTAAACCCAATGATGCAAGTGGGCATATATACATATTGTGTTAAAGGTGAGCCCATAGGCTGGATGGTGCATACATGTTAACAATAGAGGATGCCCTGCTCTGCCTACTGCAGAGGCAGGGTGCTAGAATCAAATATAAGTTGAGAAAACATTATCCCTGCAATTCCATGCAGCTGACCTTGATAATAATGTAATGGCAAGTGCATTCTGATTATCTCCTTGTGTCATTTTGCTAATTCAAGGGGAACCAAAAAAAATATGGTTTGATCATAGGCAGGTGGAAGAATACTTTCATGCTAGAACAGGTAACCTACATAAGTTAATGTTTTAAAGATTCAATCCTAATGTAAAGACTACAATAGTTGAATTATATTGATGCAATAAAAAAACTAATGCTAAGGTCATACATTTAATATATAGATTATACTGTGTTAGCACTGTTGTAAGGAATATTTTTCAAAAATGGGACAAATTTTTCAGAGGGCAATTAATGCACATATTTGATGTACAGTTCATACATTAATTTAGGACATAGATTGTCTAAATCCCTACAAATATGAGGATGAATATGGCAGATGCCAAATTTGACAATTTATTTAGTGTTACAAAGAACACTGGCACCTCAGTGATGTTCAAACCTATTTTCAAAACCCATGGAACAATAATAACTTCATAGGTGTCTCACTACAGGTCAAACAATTTTCAGTACAGAAAATATATCGTATAGAAACTGAAGCCTTAAACGAAATATTAACATAGTGCACTTCTCATTAGTATGGTGAGTTCTTCATACAATTATAAGACAGATGTACTATCTAATATGATATATCAAAAGCAATAAATGTATGTATTTTATGCAGAATTACTACATTTTACAATATATTGGAGCAAATATAACCCTGAAAGCACTGACAGAAGTATATATAGACACATTCAATCGCTCTTTCTCACACTATTTATATGAAAATTAAGCTTTAGAAAAAAAAAAAAAAAACGATCAACACTAAAGGTTTACTAAATATATTTCTTTTCACATTCTTTTATTCGCAAATATTTTTTATAATATATCTTTATCAAATCCTCAACCATTTACTTATGCACAAAGGTATGGTTGACATATACATGGGCTTCCTTTGTCTTGAGTTACCCGTAATTTCAATATGACAAAGACAGTACATGTACTGTAAAATATCCTCAAATGTATCTCTAACAGCATTCTTCACTACAGTCATTTTCAAAATACCTATTGATGTAACACCAGTATAAATGTCTGCTCTACATTGCATCTGTATAATTCATATTTTATGCATCAGCTATTTGTCTAAGCAGTATAAACAAAATGGTGTATGACTGGAATCTAATGAGAGAAAATTGTTTTAAAAAGGATGAACAAACTTAGAAGCACTACCCAAGAATATATGGAGGCATGCTAAATGGATATCAAGTGAATGTAAATATTTTAAAATATGAAATGTATTTATTTATTCATTAGTTTGGATGTCAGAATTCTGCTGATATTAAGAGTTAACATGAACTAAAAACTTGCTAATGTCAAGCTGATATTTCACCTGTCATTTGTAACCTACAAAAGTTTCTTAAGACTATATAAACACAGTAATGAGATTTGGAATCTCTGTGTTCACATAATTCAAGGCATTAAATATCAATTAATAAATGTCAAACTACAATACTTAATGCTCTAAAGGCAATGATATATACTTGTGTGCATATTTAAACCTACTTAGCATGAAATATGCCATCACTTCTTATAAACTATCTTTTATAACCTCAACGGATTATGCAATTACTCTTCTCCGTTTCCAAGTTCACCTCTCCCCATTGGTAGTTTTGATTTTTGTATTCAAAACACATGGCAATACAAGTAAGAGGCTCCATATCTTAGGTGCAAGAGTTGAACCTATGGGGTTTTTACATTGGCTAAGTGGAGAACTTAGAAGTGGAATGGCCTGAATATTAATTACTTTACAACAGCTGAAAGTAGACAAAGATCTTAGAATGCTATATTAAAGTATGATTATACAGTCTTCAACTCACATAAGCATTGTAGTACTGCATCTACAGCATCATCAAATATGTATAGTTTTAAAGGCATTCTTATACTTATGAAAAATATTATTACAAAATATAATAAACTGTGCTATAAATTTTCAAGATCAGTTTTAGCATACTGTGTAATCTCTTGAATATGAAAGCAATTTTTGAATCTCTCAAAATGTTAACAGCTTCATTTCTAATCTTAAATGTTTTCTATCATTATCAGCCAATACTTTAGAAAAGAAAAAATGCTAATATTGAGATACAATAATTATACTTATTGATTTCAAAATTTGGAAAATACTAAGTGAGACCTACAACTCAGTTTCCAATTTCTTTTATTAACACAAAAAAGTCAGTAATGCACAAAACAGCTTTAATGATATCTTTATTACAGTGTCAAAATTTGATTGTGGAAAATAATTGAAAAAACTAGGTAATACATATTTCATATCAAATAAAAAATAATGCACTATATAAAATAAACAGGAAATTGGAAAACAGAAACTACAATATGAAATAGAAAGAATCCTTATCAACTAAACAGCACTGCATTTCTACTAGAAAATGCTAAAACTACTTAAAACTTTGATTAATCAACATTCTCTACATATAATACTCATTACAAAATTCCATAGTGGTTTTATATAACAGGCATTATGAAAAAATAGTATTACAGGTGAAATATACCAATAATTATTTATGGTGAAGTACATCAGTTCATGAAGAGAAATATCATGCAATACATTTCATCATGTGTTCACTTAACAATAAACATGTACTCACTTTAATCTTTATTTTTTTGTAAGTATCCAGTCTGTGCAACTGAAATTGAGTTTCAGAGGAGAGAAAGAAATGATCTTCACTTTTCTAGTGCAAAAAGAAAAAAATCTATCAATCATAAGCAGCTCATATTGGAAATAAGAAAGGATATAAGTACTAAATTCCAAAATAATTTCTGCAAGAATCATCATAAGAATCTTGGAAAAAAAATCTTTTTGCATCCTTGATATCACCAACAATTTAACTAGCATGTCATTCATACTGTCATGTCTTCATGTGTCACACTACATTAACTACATGGAGAAATGTGTAAAATGTAAATATAGGAGTTGAGAATTCAGGAGTCAGAAATGGTATCACACAACGGTCCTGATTTACCTTTTAAAGAAACTGAAGGGAAACTTCTTTCATTAGCTTTGTGGTTCATTTATTTTCATTACTAATATTTTTTGTTCTCATCACATCACAGATTGTTTTGTGTTTACAAGCACATATGTGTATGGATGCAAAATGCATATGCAAACACACACGCAAGCACATCTGCACACACACAATAAAGTCACAGGCAGCAGACAAGTCCACATTTCCTACAATAATAATAACTTTGTCACAAGTTAGGCAGTGAAGCATACTTTTAAAATGTGTATGCGTCTTGGGTTGATTACCAAATTACTTTTGCTTGCTAATTAATTTATTTTAGGTAATTTAAAGAAGTATTTAGGACTGACTAAGTTTACCATGAGATTTAGGTAAAAGAAGTCCTAGTTAGTGTTGATTTAAAGTAAAGAAATACTTGCTTATCACCGTAGTAGCCATTTTTTTATCTATATCATAGAGCAACTGGATATTTAGTCAGCAGCACTTGGCTTAGATTTTAGTATTTACATATATTTTTATAGTCTAGATTGACTGGAGTACAGAATAGTGATAAATTAAGAATTACTTCATTTCTATTTGGAACTGTGAAAAGATAAAATGAGCAGGACAGAATGTATATATTTTTTTGTGTATGTTTCAAATGATTTTTGTCTGCAGGTTAATCTTTAAAATGATTTGGGCAGTGAGGGATGGTATGAAGAGCAGTAACATGGAGGTTTAAAATAAAATTCTCTGAATCCTTAGAGCAGCCTCTTACTTGATTCACTAAGGAAGTACTTGATCTTGGTTGTATTTCTGATGCATGGAGAAAAAAATATGCTATAAGCAATATGTAATGCATGTTTTTGTTATAAAAGAGTATAATATATATCATATTTATGTTTGTCAGCTATATAAGAAAAAAAAAATAACATACTGAAGTGAGCATATACATATCCGTACTTAAGCAAGCATCTGTGTCACCAATTACAAGTTTCCAAGGCTGAGATGCATGGTTCTGTCCATATATCTTAGAATTTATGTTAGTGTAGCTGTAGACAGAAAGATGAGTATACACTACTGCTGTTTGGGGCAAACCAGTAACTTTTACACTATCTTTAGGCGTGTAATCTTGACATCAAGCATAAAAAATCAAGTGTCCCTTTAGTGTCCTAATTCTGGAAGTGTCTGGAAGTGTCTGCTCACTGTGGTTATGTTTTGGTGTAAAGCACAAAAGAAAAAACAAAGGCAGACAGAAACATACAAACACATACACACATACACAGACCGATACTGAATTTACTCATTCAGTCACTAGTTCTTCAGAACAAAAATACAAACACTTTAAACATTGGATGTCTAAGAACAACTACTAAACTTGCAGTATTTCAGCTAGAATGGAAAATCTGGAAATTGAAAACTATAATTCTTTCAGCTGAGCTACAATGGGTAGAACATATAAAATGTTATGGCTTGGTCATTCCGTGTCATGATGTAGACTTTCCCTTTTTCTTGTTCTAAAAGTTTTACTGTAACAATGATTACAACCAGCTAGTCTTTCTCATTTTTATTTAACCATAGTTACATAAACATTTTCTTTAAATTCTCTTATTCATATACATTTTTGTGTTATGAAATAACAAGCATCTCTTGTTCATCACACAAGCTACCCTAACCACTGGTAAATAAGACCTACAGTAATATTGGTGGGGTCACCTAAACATAGAGCCTAGCTGAAAAACTAAAGTCTATAGCTACCCTAACCACTGGTAAATAAGACCTACAGTAATATTGGTGGGGTCACCTAAACATAGAGCCTAGCTGAAATACTGCTATATACAAGTTAAGTAATTATGGAAACTGTAAAGAATCAAACTGAAAGCGCTAATTTTAGTGACCCCCTTGCTCTGCATTTCTACAAATAATCACTTATGACATAATGATGGTCTTGCATATAAAATTACCTACTGATGAGATGTACATAAAAATAAAACTAATATTACCTACCAAAAACATGTAAACACTTCTATTCATGACTTTAATTAATATCTCTTCTTTTTCTTTGTCAAAGAAATCACACAGAAAAGTAAAAATCTTTACATAATCATCAAGATAAATATCACATACTCTTCACTCACTACAATTTCACTTGTTTTTCCTTAATCAGGACGATACAGCACTGACAGAAAATTAATAAAAAAATCAAATTACACAAAACGGGAAAAACTAATAATAATCAGAGGGAACTAAACTAAGACCATCATTAAACAACCCTGATATAATCTTTTTATTTTTATTTTTTTATTTTTTTACTTATTACTGAACCAACAAGAGCATGTCTGTTATGAGACTAAATTGTTAAGATACATACAAATATACAGGCAATTATGAGATGATTATGTTTGTAATTAACCTGACACCTTTAATTTTCCATCCAAAAAGGTAAATGAACATTGTAAAATAATGATAATAACGAGGTCTATTTGTGTAGTGTTTTCTTCGTGTAAGTATGCGAGTATGAACTAGTGAAATAATATAAAACAGGTAGAAACTGCAGATAAAAGAAAGAAATAATGAAAAAAGTAAGAGCTTATAAAATGTGATGTATGTTGCCGATGTATGCCCAATAAACATGTTGATTATCCAGTATTAATAATAAGAAAAATGGTCCTACTAATAAAACAAACTATTGTAAACACGCAAAACATTAAAATAATAATACATCATCTTTATAATGCAAGAAATAATTTTAAAAAGGCAAATGTTCAAATTCAGAAGGCTTTTGTAATGCTATCTCTGTAACCAATGAATAAAAAGGTGAATATAATCTTAAGGAACAAATGCTTACCTTTAAATAATCACTTTATTTACATCTGGATAACCAACTAATCATGTCATACTTGTACTAGATAAACTATACTTCTGTTTCAGAGAGTCTCTTGTTCATTTCAAATTTTTGTTTATGTTTTTTTTTTTTCTTCCTTCTCCTGGACTTTCAGTAATAATGGACGATATTCATGCAAAATGCAGAACTGGATAAAAAAGATATTATATTTCTCAAGACACACAACACCTAACCCTCTTGTCCAAACTCTTCTGTAAACTGGCGAAGCTTGTCCAGGTCAGCTTGGTTCACTGAGGGCTTGCAGTCGTTAAGGGCACATTTCATATCAGCCTGGTGAGATTAGAGAAACAAAGATGGTTATAATTTTGAATATTATCATTAAATTATTGTCATCTCAAATGTCAAGATATACAAATATTGAATATCATTCCAATTCATACCCTAATAAGTGGAAAATTGTTTTTTTATTTCCTTCAACATTTTCTACATTAACTTCAAGCTTAAAGGTTTGTCACACTGAAATGTCAGCAGAGGTTCTGGTAACTTTTTCAAATATGCTTCTACACTAAGTCCATATCTTGTTTCCAGGTTAATAAAATGGACTTTTTCATAGTTCTCACAAGAAAATTCAATGACGCTGTTGAAGGTTTCATGCTATCCGTTCCCTTTACTTCTGACACATGCATCTAGGTATGTCCACATCAGATGAAAATGCAGTTTTTCATTTGTCTCAGTAATTTTTTTCTATTACTTTCCCAAATCCAATTTTGTCTTACTGAACCACGATTTTGCATAAAATAAAACCTTTGTGTATATACCATACACTAGCACATAAAATATATAAACTAATATAAAATATATAAACTAATGTATTTTTCACATTCTTGAAAAGCCTACTAACTATAATATGAACACTGAAATTTCAAGAAAAAAGTGCTCTTCCCTGGTACATAGCAAATCCGAGTATCGAAAGCCATATAAAAGATTGCGATGTGAACAAAATCTAGAACAGTAGTAATATAATATATCTAACTAAATATCCCTCCAATTTTAGTGTAATCATATCTAAATTTACAAAAATCTACTTTTTTCTTGTTTTTTCAAACTTCAGCTACTTATGAAGACATTTTAACATATAAAAACATCACATTTAAAGGTGAATTTTTTTTCTTCAGAAAAATAAAGGCCCTTCTTCTTAAAATCAATAAATGACATCAAAGGTAGAGAGCTCATATATTTGATAATGTCACTATATAACTCCTTTACAACATATAAATCCACTGTATGTAAAAAGATAATTATTTTTGCATTCTGCTTTACATTCTACATAAAAGACCAACACTCCCCATTTAAATTACTAAAAAAGAAAGAAAGAAAAAACACTTACCATAGTCACTTCTGGTTCATATAACTTGTCACTGGGCACCTGTTCCCAAGTCATCTCAAAAGCATTTGGATCACCCGGGGAACAGGGCATTAGGTAATCGTGAACAATAACATTAGGGTCGTCACGGGACCGCCCTGAGACCTTTTTGAAGTGGGTTGCAGTCTGGACTTTGCGCACTGGTTGCATCAAGGCATCACGCACAACAATGCTGATATCTGCACCTGAGAATCTATTGGCGAAGAGTGTTTTTAGATTTACAATTTTTAGATTTACATTTTCTGTATATTCTTTTTTTTTTTTTTTTTACTTTCTATTCCATTTTTTTTCTTCTTTTTTTACAGGAGGAGAATATGGATGAGGGGCTGCAGAGAAACAGTCTCAATACATTATGAGAGGAAGTACTTTATAAAAAATATAAAAAATTGTATTTTGAACTCACCCTTCTGTGAATTCACCTAAATAGTCAAAGTCTTCGTTTGAGAGACAGTGAGGCGTGTCTCCGAGGTTGAGCATAAACATGTTCTTGCGAGCATGTTTCTCTGGTAGCGGGATGTAGATTCTCTTCTCAAACCTTCTTCTGATGGCAGAGTCAAGTGTCCATGGGATGTTAGTAGCACCCAAAACTAACACGCCATCATTCTGATTGCCAACGCCTGTGAGACAAATGTACATGAGTTTTCTATCTATTTTGGGGGTTTGCAAAAATGTTACATTTTTTGGATCAAATTGCCTTATCTCTTTAAACAAATAGCAAAATATAAGTAGTAATAAAAACAAATAATCTATCCTTCCAATTAATCATGTTCTGTTCACTTTTACATACCACTACAATGAAAAACCTACTTCAGTTCCTTACCTAAGAATACAAGAATATAAAAAGATATAAATTATTACTTTTTTTTTGCTAAAAAAAAAAAAAAAAAAAAAAAAAAAAAATAAAAAATAATAATAATAATAATAATAATAATAATAATAATATCAATAACATCCACCCATTAGACACACAAAGACATTGCCTTCTTTGGCAAGCAGAACCTACCCTGCATCTGCACAAGGAACTCTGTCTTAATTCTACGAGCAGATTCAGATTCCTGTTCTGATCTTGAGGAACAAAGTGAATCCACTTCATCAATGAAGATAATAGAAGGCTTCTGTTCACGAGCCATTGAGAATAAAGTTTTCACGTGCTGCTCTGACTCGCCCATCCACTTGGATACGAGATCAGCTGATGAGACACTGAAGAATGTTGAGTTGTTGGCTTCTGTGGCAACTGCTTTGGCCAAGAAGGTCTTACCAGTACCAGGAGGCTGCAACAGAAAGCATTAAAAAATTTGAATTAGAAGACATACAATACAGCAATCACTGTGTAATAAAGTAAATAATATGGTTACTATAATTTTGATGTGTGTGGACATGCAATGAGACCCATCAAAAGTCACTGAAAAAAAGAACATTTTAAGCTGAAATAACTGCCTACTAAGTAGAAAAAAGTCCAGAGTGCACATGAAGCACTGCAGTTTTCCATCTTTTCGAGGTTAATTAAAGTCTACACCAATGAGCCCATGCCCAAAAGTTAAACCAATACCAATTACAACCACTCCTCTTACCCCAAACAACAAAATGCCCCTCCATGCTTGTCTCTTTCCTGTGAACATGTGTGGGAACTTAATGGGCAGGATGACAGCTTCTTTGAGGGCAGCTTTGGCTCCTTCAAGGCCAGCCACATCATCCCAGCGAATGTTGGGTTTCTCAGCCACAATTGCTCCTTCCAGCCGTGACTCCATCTTCTTCTTTGCTGGGTCTGACTCTTCATCTGAATCTGAGTCCTTGCTGTTCTTCTTTCTGGTTATAATATAACAATAATATTAATAATGAGGAGCAGTTGATAAGGATATCAGAAAAAAATTGTTATAATACCATTTAGATTGGTGGTGATTAAGATGATTAACAGGAAAACAAGAACAAACAGCATCGTAAAATCGAATACCTTATTACCATGATTTTCCTCTATCCAGATCAACCAAGCATGGCATGATATACAGTATATCCCACCTTAACAGGAATGAAATCCATACATATTCAGTGACCCAATACTGACACTCACCCTACAGGAACACCAGCCTTTTCTGCTTTCTTCTTCTTTCCTAGATGTTCTTTAAGCTTCTCAGCTCTGTTTAGGTATTCTTTGCATTTGGCACGAATGGTGTCCTTTGCCCGTTCATTAGGAACCTCATCTGAAATGTGGAGTCTATTAACATATGGTATGTTATCCTCGTAACAGATAATAACAAAACCTGAAGAAATCAGCCACTTATTCACCCAACTCCAGACAGTGATTAATGCAATATATATAAAATCTCTCTTGCAATTTCTCAAATGATGCTCCTAATATTTCAGTAAGATCCCACCACCAGTGCAGTGGGCTAATACTTGATGCACCACAAATACTCACATTTCATAGCATGAAGGAAATATTCCACAGCTGATTCATACAGCCTCAAAGCCTCTGCATAGTTATTGCTTTTGTCTTCTTCTGTGGCTTTTGTTACAAGCTCGATCGCTTTCTGGAAAAGAAAATGAACAGAGTTAAAAATAAAAATTAATCTTAAAATTTGTAACATCCCTAACTATTATGAGTCTTAACTCCCTTGATACAAGGGACATATTAATCAAATAGGCCATGAAAAAAAAATAATAATAATAATAAAAAAAAATAAATCTGTTACCCAAATATAAAGTGGAAATGTGAAAGGGGGACATAAAACATGAAGAGCAACCGAAAAAAGGGTAATACAAAACAAGGAAAACTAACAGAAGAAAACCGTGTACAAATAAACAATACTTTGATAAATCACAAAAAAAAAAAAAAAAAAACAGAGAGAAACAGAGAATGAAAAAATAATAGAGAAAGAGAGAATGGAAAATACAAGGGCAGAGAGAGAGAGAGAGGAAGGAAGAAACCTTTCAACTACTACTTTAGGAAAACCAAACCATGTTGCGCTAAGAATGACAATCCCTTGACACACTCAATGTCCACTGAGTGTCTTGACCCATAACCTTAAAAGGGCAATTCAGAGAAAATCAACTGGAGATATAATTGCAAATGTATCACTCAGGGAAATCAATTAGGCTACTTTGTAATACTATGGAATTATAAAATATTGAATGAAGAGAGACTTAATAAGTCCATTAGCAATGACATATATGTATTTCATTTGTAATTCATCAATTCATGAAATGGACAAAAGCCATAGACACAGCAATCCTTAAATAAAAAAGTACTACTGTCTCAAGTACTAAAATAAGGTCATATAAATAATTACTACCGACAAGAGTGAACAAATGTAATGTGAAATCATACCTACAGCATTTCCTTTAGCCATAGTAGAAAACAGGAAAAAAATAATAATCTATCTAATGCTTAAAAAAATCTGGTCAACAATCACATCTGATAAATAAACACACAATCGCAGGGTCATACAAGGTTAACTTTTAAATATCACACTCATTTGCAACTTATTATTATGCATCAAAACAAAACATAACTAAGAGCATTTATATGTAATTAATGAAGTTCTCCTTCTGATCTCCTACACTGAACTCTTGACAAGCATGTGTTTTATATATTTCTAGTGTTGATGAATCTTTTTAAAATGGAGTATATTTGTCTTTCATATCAGTCAGGTTTGAACATTATAAGAGTGTCCCAATTTAAACCAACTACAAGATGCACATGGGAGATACTAAATTACTTCTTCTAATTAATTAGCAAAATATGCATAATTTCCTAAATTTGTAATGGTATTGTATAACCTTTCTAGCATGAACTATGACTTTAGCAAAACAGGTAAAGTGATGATGATGATGATGATGAAAAAATCATAATGGGGACCTACAGATTCAATGAGCAACAATATAAAAATGTTTGATACATTCTGTAATTGTCTCTCCTCAACACAACTTCCAGCAACAGCTGATCCTTTGGGTGGTAAGAACCAACCCATTGAAGCTTTCCGTACAAATAACCCAAATTTCAAACATAAATATACTAGATGCACAAAGATACAGGGAGATATAGGTAGCTGAGAGCAAATAAAAATGCCTACTTCAGAATTTTAAAAGGCTGTGACAGCTCTACTAAGTTTCTCTATTTTCAAACCTTGAAGTGAATAGACTTTGCCGAATGTAACCACATGGAGAGTGAGAGAGAAAAAGAGAAAGACAGATGAACACAAAAAGAAATAATTGATTCTACTTCTCTTTTTTTTCATCAAAAACTATAATCCTCACTAAATAAATAAACACATAAATCAATCAATCAAACAATACCATGAAAACTTTAATAAAAAAAATGTCCTGTCTTTACAGGACACACACAGTCCCTTTAAAAATACGTAATCTTTGCTTGTTTTATTCAAGTCCACTGGAAACTTGCTGTGGTCTGTGATGTATGGTTTACTGAGTCAAACATAACAGTGGCACATTGTCAAGTAACTGCTATCGCAACAATCAACAAACCACACTGCATGACCTGTTAAGATAGAGCTTGGGTTAGTTCCTTATTTGACAATAAATTGCAAGGGAGGTCTGCAAATTGAACTTGCCATAATATACTGAGGTTTGTGGGTCTGCTGGGAACTGAGAGGCATAGAGACCAAGCTGACTGTCATGAGGCCAATGGTAGATGCACAGTTGTCTTCAAAACATTTGCCAAATAACAAGAAATCACCTCACATTTTATATACATATTTTTTTACAATACTAACCGCAGACTAACAATTCTTCTGTTTTTCTCTCTTTCTTCAAAACAAACATACCATGGCTAAATCTACTCTAATGGATGCAGAGTGCATTCCAACTACACAAATTATACAGAACAATGACTCATCCACATCATAGGGTGAATTGCAGCCATTTCTAACTATAAATGATGAACAAGTCGAGCCTTACTAACACCTACTCTGACAATGCTGGCTATGGAATAAATTTGTAAATTACTAATGGTACAAGAGAAATTTAGAAATCAACTTCTACTTACGACAGAAATTATCTCAACATAAAAAAAAAAAAAAAAAAAAAAAAAAAAAAGAAGAAGAAGAAGAAAGAAAAAATCAAATCTCCACAAATCATAATCTGTCAAAATAAAGCGTGCAGATCTCAATGGTATGCGATCATCTAGTAAAGAACCAGTCCGAGCTGTATCTTGCCAGAATATACAGGGTGAAGGTCTGTTGGTATTCTCTGGGCCAAGAGCACGTGTGGATTCCACAATATCATCTAATGCACTCCAATTCTAAGATAATCACCTATAATAACATGTGACATTCAATTGAACAACACAAAAGCAACATATTCTAAACAAGCATTTTCTCTAGAAAAAATATCTAAATTTCTAAATCTAAAATAAAGTAACCATACTTTATGGAGCTATAAATTACACAGATACCGCAATCTATGGTACCTGCTTAAGCACGTCTTTTAACAAATTCTTTTTTCTCTCTCTTTTTAGGATGCTTCTTACAGGCACTCAGTAATCCTGTACACTAATACCATTACACAAAAAGCGATTAAATATTAAAAATGCCCACCCACTATGATTTTGAAAACAAAATTTTGTTAATTATATCTCCTTTATTTTTTTTTCTTGAATTCCTAACACAAAAGTGAAGCATTCCCTCTACCTATGCACATTTGACTTCTTGGCAAACAACCTCAACTACATGTATTCTGGCAAAATATATTTGGAATAATTCATTTTTCAATAGTAATTCTTTAGAAGATTTAGAAATTCTGTGTTGCCAGAACACAAGTGGTGGGGACTTGGCTTTTGCCAAAGCATCAACGGTGTAGAAGCATTGATCAGTCATAATGGTCAGTGAAGGGCATCCATAGAGAAAAAAAATGAAAGGCAAAATACCTATAGACTATATGATCATAACATAATATCATCCTTCTGACCAAGTTGGAAAACATATCAATATATCAATACAAATGTAATGAAGTGGCATAATAACCCAAGAGAAACTCAGGCATTCGAAGGAAATACAGTATAACAGAGGCACAAAGAGTCCAAACATAAAATAAAAGATGCTATAATAATTTTTTTTTTTCTTTTTTTTCTTTTACTAATGTAAGCAATTCAATATAATCACCATCACAGAATCTACAGCAGACCGAGCGGACTTTGGATTTTCGCGATCTTTTCCTTCATTTGTGGTGTTAGTGTTCGTGTCTTGATATTATTTCTTGTACCGACTACTGCAACTTTTTGTCCTCTACAAGAACAGCATATTCAATTTGCCCTAACTTAGTGCATCCATACCATAAAGATTACCCATACATATATACATATATATGTATTTTTTTTGTGGATATACACAAAAAGTATTTGGGTTCGTTGTGAAAAAAAAAGGTATTTTGGCTTACTAAAAACATATACGTAAAGACAGAAAGACAACATACTTGGGTTTGTTATTGAAATACTTGAGAAAAAAAAATTGGGTTTGTTATGAAAATAGCCAAGAAAATTAATTTGGGTTTGTTATTAAAATAAATCAGTTGATATAGATGTATCAGCTATGGATATAAACATTACACATTTGTGTTTATAAATAATAAATATTTGTTTATAAACAATAAATGTGCTTATTATGGACATAATAAAAAATGCTGATATATACTTGTTATGGCCTGTTGTCAGTGATGCAACTGTCAAAAATTCTAGTACCAGTAATTTTTCAGAATACATTTGCATAACCAATTACCACGATTTTGGTATCTAAGGATTCCTGTCACTCCTTACAATCCAAATATATCAAAATTATGCCACTAAACCCCCCATTAGCAACAAACTAGGCCCCCATAGTAGGGAAGTGCATCAGAGATACCAGGGAAATTGCAGGGTAAAATATGAATGATATACACAGAATCAGCCCTGCAACCCTGTCCTGGGGGGGTTCTACTCCCCAAACCCTGCAAAGGAAGACAAGAGAATCCTCCACATATTCACAGCAGTGTAGAATGTATGACTGATACATGGGTACACCTGATGTTGTCTATCCAACTTCTATCCTGCTGTGAATACATGGGAGGATTCTTTGCTTTCCTGGACAGGGTTTGGGGGTTGTAGTCCCCATGCAGGGTTCACAAGGGGTACAGCCCCCTATATTCAGCAGTATAGTGAGGTATTTTTATCATTATGTTATCATACAGTTGTTAGTTTGTCCTGCAATTTCCTTGCTACCTGTCATGCCTACCCATGCTATAGAGGCCAAAAATGTGGGGTCTAGGGGGGGGTTAAATGGAATAATTCCTAAATAAATAGTAAACCCAAAACAAAACAAGCTTATAGAATATCATTTTGATGGAATAACTAACACACATGATAATATCATAATTTGTTATTGCACTTTACTTTATACTGACACGAATATAAGTAAAATCATAATGTAAGCACAATGTCTAAATAGAGTGTTCAAACATTCTCCTGACAATCTATTGCCTTGGATGTCAAATCCACACAAAAATTTGACCAAATTAAGAAAATTAAATACAAATTCTCTTGAACACATAACACTGATTAACTTTCGAAAAAGTACTTTGGAGAAACATTAAAATGACCACACAAATGCACCAAAAAAATAATTACACAAACTTATCACCAAAACACAAAAGAAAAAAACTATGAATATTTACATTTCGCTCACAATACCTTAAACCAACTCTGAAAACTCGTCACACACGCTATCAAACATTTAATCAATCAACAAACTACCGTGGAAATACCATGACAATACCGCCGCCAAGGGGATATCGTCCCATACCCATAACAAAATGAAGATAAAAAATAAAATAAGTGCTAAGAACTCCCACCCCGGAAAGCCACTGAGCAACCACTCGTCTTCTCCGCGAATGTAGATCAATTCCTCTTTCACGTAGTTATTCGTTTTCCTTAAACACTCGGGTAGTCAAGAAATCACCCTCGTCTGGTGTGCAATTACCTGCAAAGCCCCTCCAGATGCCATTATTGCAACCCTTTTCCTACTCTCTTCTCTTGTGAACCTGAATCATACGTCGAAAGTATAAGCTCCAAAACAAAATAGTATTGGGAGTGGAATGTCTTCCTAAAACAAAAGAGTATCGCATGTAGAGTTTCGATTGTCTATTGTACGTTCTGAACGCGCAAGGGATTCGATCTCTTGTTGCTTATCATTTGTAAACACTAAAGGTTTGACACAATGACGTCATTATGACGTCACTATCGCGACAGCACTAAGGAATTGCCAAAGAGTTGTGTTCATTTTATAACTATAAGGAATATAGTTTTTCTAAAGCAATATGGCTTTTCTAGCCGCTTATTTCAGGCTTGGAATCGCATTACTGTGCATGACATCATTCCGTAATCTTGTACTGTGAAGTTGACGCGATTGGAATTTCTTGCCCGCAGAGGTGCTTACATATAAATTATGAATGAATTTTTATAGAGCACTGGTTGATCACATAGTTAGTGGCCATGGTCAATATATTGGGAAAAAATTGTTAAACAAGACACAAGCAAAGAAAACGGCTTGACAATCTTGATCATAAGGTCCATTCATGTAAAAAACTTGGATTATTTCGCAACAGAGATATCACGTGAATTTGACAAATCGACGCTAGATTATCCTTAATGCAGTTCTTCATGTTGACCTCAGAACAAGCTTTGATATTAGATATTAAAGACAAATATCCCACGAATTACTCTGTAAGATCCAATGCTCTAACCAGTTCTATCCGAAAACGTTTTTTTTATTATCAAAATTTCTTGTTTGGTGAATAACACACCCGGAGGCAGTGGCGTACAGGTATTTTCTGGATCAACAATAATGAAAATGTAAATATCATTTTATCGTAAAATTTACTTTGTAAACGTGAAAGTCATTTCCTCGAATCCTTCAGATTTTTGGAAGTTGAAGGTAACTGTTATCATTATTAATAATTTTAATATCATTATTATCATTGTTATCATTATTATTATCATCATCATTTATCATCATTACTTTTCATCATTATATTTATTATTGTGTCATTTGTTATTGTTACTATAATCAGAATTACTTTTATTATCATTGCTGTTATTATCATTACTGTTATCATTATCATTTCTCATTATCATTACATCATTCATTACCACTACTATTATCAACATTATTAATTTCATTATCACCATCATTATTATGACTATTATCATTATTATCATCATTATTACTATTATCTTTATTTTTATTGTTGCAGTAGTTGTTATTTTTATCCTTATTATTAAATCTAATAGTTTTTATCATTATTGTCATTACCATTATTATTAATTATAAGCTTAATTTCACTGTTATGGTTATCATTGTATTATGTTATCTTATAACTACCATTATCATATGATCATTGGAATTACTATTATCATTATTGTTATTATCAATAATGCCAGATCATTAGTTATTATTATTATTGTTATCATCACCATTATC